ACAAAGAGAATGACGTCGTTTGGAACAATGCACGGTTAAATGGTCGTACAGTACTGAACGACATGCTAGAATTCGTTCGTGTGTTTCGTATATTTTAAGGAAGAAAGTGTAGTTCTTAAGTATCTTATAGGATTTAAAAATTGATTATCCTACGTAGGACGTAGACGAATATGTAAATCATTTAGCAGATTACTTTATACGTAAAAGTATGTCGTACAGTTTTCGACAAGGTAGAGGGTGTATATGAAATTTTCCTATCAAAGAAATCGAAATTCAAGATATACGATGTAATGCATAATGTAAAAGAAGAAAAGCAAGGTTTATTATCGTTATGAATATATATTTTACAAGAAATACATTTTTGTATATTACATGACTTATGACTTTCGCACTTTAAAAGTTCCCATAAATGCTTAAAATTCGCAGTCTAGTGAGAAGTTTCACCGATGTACTCGCGAATGAACGAAAGGGGATCTTTCGAGGGCACGGGGCTCCTCGTCTTTCCTTCCTCGCACGTAACAGTTTCATTGTTTCATTGTGCGTCCTACGAGGCTTCCTATTTCGAGGCGGATGCGCGCTCGCCGCCCCGTAACAGTCATTTCTCAGCTGGGGTCTCTCTGAGCCGAATGCGTAACGGTCCGTGAATCGATTTTTCATGTGGCGATCAGTGACGAAGAAAAAAAGAGCGGGTAAGAAGAAGAACAGGAAAATGGGAAAGAGGAAAAAGAATGAGAAAGAACTGGACACGATGCAACGGGTGCATGAATCGAATATAGCGAGTCAAAAGAAAAGAAGAAAGAAATGTGGCTAGGAGATTCAGCGAGAGATGTTCACGGTCTGTTACTTTGTCAGACCAGTTTGTAATGGTTTACGAGATAGTCCACGGAAACGTTGGATCTTGTGATGTCATAGACGACGCGTTGTATTTTTGATGCTTGCGATGAAATACCGCGAAACCTTCATTTTGTACCAAATACCAATTATCGCAGAGTTTCTTTAATTATCGTTTGTTTCGCTGTTTTGGTCTTGTATTGAAAGTATTTGATACTTGATAGAATAGATCGATAGATGAAGCAGATTCTGCGTTTCAGTTCTTCGTGATTTATTACTTCAATTATGATTCCATTGTTCTTAGCTTTCAAGAACACAATTTTCAAAAAATGTAAAGCAATTTCGTTTTACGAGGAGTCGCAGTGTTTTGAATCTCTGTTGCCATGTTTTTTTTTTTAAATATTACATCTGAATTCTTTAGAATGTCTTAATCTATTAAGTGAAACAGACAAATTAACTTATCTGAATGTGAATTATCAGTCGAACCTAAATCTATGCAAAATCGACAACTATTATATGCTATGAACATAGTATGGCGTAGGAGAAAACAGAAAAGTTCGGTATCGTATAATAATTAAGTAGTCCAAAAGATTTCACCAGAATCCGGAACTTCGATCGGAATCGTCGCACCCACGATCCTACTTTCTTCCCTATCTTTTAAACGAATCGTTTTCTTCATAATTTATCCCAAGATAGCGGAATTATCGCGTGCACGTCGTCGCGCTATCTGCACCTCCTTCCGTCGTGGCTAATGACACGTGAAAAATTTTACGCTGATCACGTCGTCTTTAAGCATCTAATAAATTGTATGGTCTGCCTGCTGGACATCTTTCCTCCAACGGCCAAGATTTCACGTTTAATCGCAATAAAATTGCTGCTATAAACAGTGAAACAGGGCAAACAAGATATACGACATACCGCGCTAAAGAGGAGCTGATTTATTTATTGAAGTGGTATTTGCTTTTTATGATCAGACCATAATAAGTGAAGAGAAGAGTTATGCCTTTGTATTGTTTTAAATATATCGTTTCATTTTTCATAGCCAAACATCATTATCATTCCGATTATCATTCTGATCGTCTATGTATGTGCAATATTAAATATTAATTAATAATACATAAAATTGCAGAAATTAATAAAATTTCGAAGTAAAAGTTCGATATGAATGATTCATGATTCGTTCAATACTTTCTTTTGGATGCTGCATTAGATCTCTGCTGCTTTCGTGAATTCGTTGTGGATGCTTCGTGAACTTTCTTTGTTGATAGAGTAATTAACAGACTCGGCCTAAGTGACTAGTCGAACAGTGCATAAGGAATGCGTGTACATTCCGTTTCTTGATTTCTTTTGCCTGCTGTTATTTAAACAATCGGTTACTTAGAGAGTTTCTTAACTGAGAGGATTTCTTAATAACGTATAAAAGTTCTTTAGCTCGATCTTACTACGATTCGTGTTTTTCTTTTCTATTGTTTGCTTTTTAACTTATTTTTTAAGATTTTCGAAAGTGTGATAATTGTTACGCGACTATTGTCGCGTTTCATTGTTCTATATCCGACAGGTTTATAAGAAATCTAAAAGTGGTTCCCTTGTTCAGGATTAGTATGTTGAAAGATAGAAAGGCTTCTTAACTTTCACTGATTTTCTCCAATGCTCGCAATTAAAGCATGATCGGTAGCCTATCGAATTAAATCTATTGATCGATATAATATTGCACCGAATACCATGAAATTACTAAATTCACAAAAATTCTGTACAATTCTATTACCCAGTTTTTGCGACATAATTAATCTCAGTATAATAAGTACAGTACAGTAATATACACATACAGGTCAGAGGATCTAGTAAACTAAAAAAAAAAAACAAATTTAAAAAACCAGAAAATTGCAGAGAACTGTAATTCGCATAAAAGCTTACAGCATGCATATTTCTACATTTTCTTCTATCGAACTGTTACGGTTCTTTGTCTCCTGGATTCTATATTTAAAAAACTAGTTTGCCTCGGAATAATAGATCCGTAGAATAGCGTTAAACGCCAAGCCAGGTTAGAATAGTTTGCTCTACTGTTAATACTTCTTTTTCTATGTTCTACAAATCAAAAGTAACCTCCGTAACAATGGTTCAGTCTAATACTCGTAACCGTTGGATCAAGATTTTCAAGATTTTGTAGAATTATCCTCATATAGTAAATCGAATTACCTTGATATACTAAATCGCATTACTCGTCTAGCGAAATGGTATGCGAAATTGCACGAGAAACGGCGCGTTTCGTTTAAACGGCGGAATGCAAAACTGTTCGTTATCGATATCTCAGGATAGGATGCACGGAGCTAATGAGATGTATCGAGGACAAATTCCGAACTGCGTACGGGGAACCAGTTTATCTCGAAAGTTTCGCGTATCGAGATCAAGCTGTGCGACCGATCTATGCCGGACCTCTCGTGATCGCCATCCAATTATTTCGATCAACCGGATTATACATAGCAGCTACACACGAGAATCGGCCGATAATTGCCCGACATCCTAACTACGAGACTATGAATCGATGTTCCCGATCTCCGCTTCGAAGAGAATAACGATTTATCCTTAGGGGATCGTTGTTGATCGTCTCTAACGATCGTATAATAAGCATTGCGCTCCGGATGGTGAAAAGAATAACAGAATCTTGTTGATACTAGTATCTTGTCTTGTTTTAAATTCATGGGTGTTAACAAGATATTGCTAATTGGATACACGTGTGATAATTTGGGAAAATTGATCGTCAATTGTCGCGGAAATTAATTGCCTTTTGTTCTAGAAATTTTGTTTTGAATTCTTGGTCGCTTGTTTTTTGATTCACATACTCTAATTTCTAATGATACTGAACGTTTTTTCTCATGAAATTTGATACAGAAAAGCTTATAAAATTCTGTATACGACTCGTGAATTGAAAACATATAAAATGTATGCAGTGATATTAATAAAAAATACCATTTTTTGAATCTTTAATGGAAAGAGCTGAATCGACTCACGAGGACAATTAATTTATGAATCAAGCTTAAATTTCTGGAGGACAAATTAAAATATCTTTACGTTTCATGTAACATTCAATTAAACATTGAAATTACCTCTAGTGTGACATATTTATCAATACATTAAATTAAAATACGTCACGACATTTGTTCTATTATTGTGATATTTATATGTTATAGTTATTAATTACTATAATTTATTACTAGGTTCGAAGACGAATTTTTAATAAGAATAATCCACAATTCTCTGTGGTAATTTTCTTTCTTCGTATTTTACAAAAATTACATTACGTGAAATGGTAACAAACGAAAATGAAAACGACGGTGTTCGCAGCGGAAATTGTATGAAACTGATCGCAGGTGGTCCGAGAAGGATTGCGGAATCGGGAGAGCGGATGCTCGCGAAACGATTCAAACGAGATCGCTGTCCGAGGAATTCGAATGGAGAACGGAAGCGGCGAACACGCGGTCGCGTGTTTGGCGTGACACGGCTACCGCGTCGATTGACAGTTCTTACCGATGTTTGAGAATGAAATTATTTGCTGAGAGATAGTGGTAATTGCAGCAAGGTGGCTCGTTAGCACGGTCTACGGTTAGTATAAATCATACGGAAAATAGAATGACTCAGAAGTAACGGGTAATGCGTTGCAAGAGTAGTTTGATCTTGAGTTAAGTAGCTTTTTTCGTTAGAATCTCATTTCATCGGGACAGATGGAAATAGATTGAAAATGTTCTGTTTCGATTGCTTCTGCTCAGAGGTTGTCATATAGATGAGGAAATTTGAAGAAGGATACGTAATGGCATGTTTATAGGATGCTTTTCATTTTTCTAGACAAATTGCAAAAGCGTAATATACGAACTAAATTGAGGAAAAGATTTTTTATAAATGCTTTGTTATCAACGTAATATTAAATCTACCTGTAACGATGGATTCTGGATTACTGTAAAAAATTGTCAAAAATATTTGTAAATCCAATATCAACAATGCTGCTTACAATTTTGTGATAACGATTTTGCAATCAAATTTCGTTTGATATTTCCTCCTCTATTGCCTTTTTTCCTCTTTTCGTTTGAACCTTATGCTTCTTCAAATCTATGAAGGAAATACGTCGCATTAAAAAAAAAAAGTAGCGAGTACGAAAATGCTTCGACTTTTACAACATGATTCAGTGTCAGATTTCAACAATTAAGCCTGAAAATATGAAAGCATTTGTCACCCCAGATCGTCTTTGGATGGTTATCAAAGGTGATATCAGAACTTTCCATCGCTGGATGATCTGCTTGTTATCTCGGATTTTCACGCAAAACGATTCACTCTTGCAGAACGATCTTTTCACACCGGTTTTCCATTTAGCCGCAGGAGGATCGCGATAGAGACTCGTTGAAAACCGCGTGCCGCCTGGGTGACTCGCGGCGCTTTTTCAAAACAGTCAAGGCCGAGTCGCCTTTCGCCGCGAAAACTCGAAGGAGAAGCGTATCCTCCGCCGATCGACTCGAACCTGACGCAGGTGGATCGATGATACGACCGATGGATCTATGCGATTTGCGTGATTTTCAATGAACGTTTCAGTGATCTCGTATCCAAACGTGAATACTATTTGGAGCATTCTAAATATTCAAATATCATTTCCTTGTCATTGCGACACCTTGTGGAATTCGAAGTTGAAATCTTCAACTTCTATCTGTATCCCATATTTTTCTGTGACGCATTTATCTACTAGCTGCAAACTACAACGTGTTCTGTTTCGCTCCAATAACGTCACATCGGGTCCTCTGGTATCGCGATCGATCGAAACTAAGACGAACGTAGAAATTCATTAAATATATTGTGAGCGGTTTTGTCTATCGCTGACCTAATAACGAGTAAGACTGTATTTAGGTTGTCTCCATCTGCGGCACGTTGTGACGCAAATTGTTGGTCAGTCGAAAGATGCAAGAAGCGGTGGTTGCGTGGTCGAGTATACCGCGTGTATCTGTCTGTCTATCCGTTTGCTTGACTCTCTGACACGCTGTCGGTCACGTGCGTCCGACAGGTCACGTGGCGGTGGTCATGCTTCGTGCACAGCTCCTTCTTGCCGTGGTTCTCAGGTATTGCTACCTTCGCGTGGTTACCGTATGACTTTTCAGCGTTGAAGAAAATACAGATATTGTCTTGATTTTTGTTCAATACGATATGAATTTTTCGATTTGAAATTTGTCCTTTGATAGATTCTTGATCTAGAGTACTAAGGTTTTGTCTATTCTGATGCCAAAGTTCTGGCAGAGAATTGGGATAAAAATATAAATGGTTAAAATATTATACTCAATGGTTGGTATAGTATCATATACTGTGTTCAAATATTTTGCATCGTCAAATTTTTAAAACACTAGTAAGATTATTTCGCACTCAAATACGTGCTTCATCGAGTTTCAATACGGTACTGAATCCCGTACTGAAATATCAAATATCTTACAGCGTTAAATTTGTGCCAGGAACCTAAAGTAATTGCATGAAAATATTTTACGTAGGCCGGTTTTTGTTGGAATACTACAGTGATTCCGTATTGAAACCCAAACTAGACTAAAGAAAAATATATTTGTTACATAAATCACGCAAATGTTACTAAATGGAAAGTGAAAGCGCATACGGTACTTGCACAATTATACGTGGGAAAAATTGTATCATCGTAGAAGCATAATTCTTATTAAGTTATTTGCAGTTCGTCGCGAATTTTTCCTATTTCATCTCAAGAGGGAACACACGTTCCAATCAAATCGCCCAGTATCCTGCAGTTTCCTGACGCGTGTGTGTGCTTTCTCTAATTTGCAACAACATCAGGAAGACACTGTACGTTTTCCACGGAAGAGATGCGAGCACTATCTTTACCGCGGCTATGTGAATCACGGAACGCATAACCGAGGAAACGTTCGTTTCCACTGGCGATTACTCGAGTCTCGTGTATGCAATTGGCGCGCAACAAGGTCCGTGAACCTCGGCTTTCGTTGTTGGCTTCATTTTAGTAATAAAATATAGCGGTTGAACCGAGAGACACTGTCGTTGGTTTCTTAAGGTCGAAACGTGACAGCGAACAGCGCCAGGGTCGTTCTCCCCTCTAATCTCGTATCCGTTTCCAATCGGTTCCAGCGACTTTCAGAATTACCATACGGACTAGGTGTTATTTCATTTCTCCTGTAGTCGGAAATGTCACTTGAAAAACGAGAAACCCGTATTTTTAATCATACGACGAGTACACGTGTTTTTACTCGATATTTTTCCTTATTTTTGGAAGGGGGCGGAGCAGGAAAGAATTTGAAAATCATTAGAGAACATTAATCTTCTATTGAAAACATTTCCTTACAGGTAACTATAAAAAGGCTTATGTTACGTCAAGTTAGGTTATATAATTTTCGAAATGCATATAATTTCACTAACGATATTTTAACCAAGAGAAAATATTCCAACTTCTAATACTAGAAATATAATTGTGATATTGATAAGAATTTTTTAGATTTCCTCTATGATTCTAATTTAGTTTTTTACGAAGATTTTTATTGGCGGTGAACTCGTGGATTTTTTATCAGCGTGTAATAGCAGCCTGCGTATAATATGAAGGAAATCTGTAGAAATAATTTTATCATGCCAACGTCAAACTTCTTCAATATGTCCGACAAAATTCTACCAAAATTTTTAACTTCCTCGCGACAATGCCAACTTCTCTACGTACCAAGCAGTCTCGAATATAATCCAGTGCCCTGAATGAGGTCCAGGTCTGGCGATAATTGCTGCAGTCGTGGTCGGCGTCCCTGACCAGAAAAAGGAAGTCAGAAAGAGGAGTAAAAGGTAATCGCAGACACGAGGACTGCTTTTAACGGTATTGCTCGCTACTCCAGTTCGCGTGTGGCTCGAGCCAATCCAGCGGATCCTTGTTCCGACTCGGGAGCCTGATAATGTATCGTTTTGATCTCCGTTCCTCCTGGTTGAACGGCTGTGAAAGCCACCGATCGAGATATCGTAAGCGGCGATCGAATCGCGTCGCGCGTTCGCAAGACCGATATATTGAGGTAGGTTTCCGCGACGTACACGTGCTTATCTCGTAAAACCAACGAGATTAATAATCCTCGATAAAGCGTGAATCACAGATACAATTAACCACTTGGAAGGTTTTTTTGGCAGTTCATGGAATTTACCAAGCAGTTTGATGTATTACGAGCTCGTTGAACTGTGTAAGTGTGGATTGGACGCAGAGAAAGAGGAAGATTGTAGTAAATAAGAGTTTTTTAATCCTTTCAAGGCGAATTTTTCTTTTAACTCTTAATGTATGGATTATAATACGGAATATAAGGAAGTAAACGAATAAAATTATAGCAAACTAGGTGTTTCTTTGCAGTTATCAAAGAACGCTGGATTTTCGCAGTTAATTAGGAGGAAATCTAGACGTAATAAATGGCAGTTGATCTCAGTTTATTCCAAATTGAGCTATGTGTTTGCATTCCTAATTAATTGCATTAATTAATTAACTTTTAAATCGATGTTTAGTGGAAGAAGCGAATGATAACTGTGCGTTATGAGCGTTTGAAATTTATTTTGTACTTTCTTAAATCTAATTTATATAGCGGTATGGTTAATGAAAATTGTGAATTAGAAGAGTTGGAAATTTAGTTTCTTTCCTTAAACTTAATTTATATGACACAGAATTAATGAAGATGGCGAAGAAAGAAAACGGTTTCAGCATACAAAGTTTCAGCGAAAAAATGTTCAGAGACAATTCTGGAAGAAATTAATCTGCCGCGTTGATAGCGCTGTTACCGGTTCCCACGATCGAACACTTTCTCCGTCGAACCAGCTCCGTACGTTGGATGCACAGGATTTCACGTTCTTTGGCGGTTAAGCATGCAAAACAAATGTATTCCTCGTTCGACGATCCTCTTCCGTCCCGCGACATGGTTCTCCATTTCCGTGAACATGAGAAATTCTTGTAAGTCGAAAACAATCCTGTTTGTTAACTCGTAAGGAAGATAAAAGAAATTTTTTAATATCGAATTATTGTTCGATTTAGACGATTTAAGTGGTAGTAAAATATTCTTAAACATATTTAAACATTTAGGTTCAATAATAAGATCAGTCAATTCTTTCTATTCTTTCCATAGTATCAAGTTAGTAAATGGAAATTGATAGTAAACTGTTCTTAAGCAGATATGTACTAACACGACTCGGTTAGTGGTAAATTGTTTTTAAATAAATGAAGACAATTTTCCTACAGTAGTAAGCTATAGCTAAAGAGTTTTAGATGAATTGGTTTCGGTACCAAGCTGATTTTATAAATAGATTTACTCAATTTGGTTGGAGAATTAAATTGTTATTAAACTGTCATAAATGATCGTTGCTTGATAGAAATAAATGGCAGTCTTGTTCCTTGTCTTTGTTTCCATTAGTATTCAAGAATATTGATGGCAGTGGTTAACAAAACGTGTAAAACTATTTAGTAACCTGCTTAATAAATCGTAAATTAATGATACGTTGATAAACGCTACGTCGGTGTACAAGGTGATCAATTGTCAATGATGAGTATTGCATTTGTATATCGATATTCGAGAGAATCGTTTATATTTATTGAGGATAGAGAAGAATGGGAAAAAGCTTAAAAAAGGTTTCTACCAAAGAAAACTGATGCAAGAAGAGAAACTTATAATTCATTAATAATTCCTATAATACTTGTAATTTGTTAATATTTCCTCTAACACATGGTATAAAATTGTCATTCTATCAAGATCCTAAAGGAGTTGTAGAAAATCACGTTTCAAACCGTCCAAGTGGCCATTATATAAGAAAACCGGACTGACCTTTTCCACGTCAGTCGCTAAAAACTCGAAGCTTAACGCTTGAATTATCTCTACTGCTCACGTCACGATTATGTCACGCGACGAACAAGGTATTTTATCACGAAAGAAAAGGAGAAAAAGCGTGAAAACGTATCCTTTCGCGTCAAAACCACCCTTACCATCGCTAAACATGGTGACGAACGAATGTACATGATGTTTCGATTGCGAAAACTTATTGAGCAAGTGAGAGCGATCATCATCCTGGCATGATTAAACGCACACGTGTGGACAAGTCTTCAAAGATGGCTTTACGCTCGCAAAGAACTATCCGGAGTTAGTTAACTAACATATTATACATACGTATGTGCGAGTGCAAGTAGTTAAGTCGATGCTGTGTCAGTATTTAATTCGTGCATTCAACTATAGCGTTTAGTTTCGAAAGAGTAA